TCTTTGTCTTTCACTCTTGCCATTTTCACTATGATGTGTCTTGGGGTGGGCCTATTTGGGATCATCTTGTTTGGAACTCTCTGCATTTCCTGTGCTTGTATGTCTATTTCCTTAGCCAGTTTAGGGAAGTTTTCAGACATTATTACTTTAAATATGTTCTCGATCCCTTGCTCCTTCTCTTCTCCTTCTGGTATTCCTATGATGCGCATGTAGTTGCGTTTGATGTTGTCGCCTAGCTCTTAAACAATTTTCCATGTTTTTTATTCTTTTTTCTTTTTGCTGTTCCGCTTGGATTCGATGGTGTTTTTGAAGTCTGCCCTGTCCTTATTTGCTGTTTACTTGCTCTGGCAATTACCGAGAGAGGAGTTGGAGACCTCTGTCTGTATTTGTCTGTTTCTCCATTCAGTTCTGTTACTTTTTGCTTTATGTATTTTGATGTATTATAGCTCTGTTTTTTGATGCATACGCATTTAGAATTATTATATCTTGTCTTTGACCTGTTTGTCATGACGAAACATCCTCAGTTGTCCCTGATAATAGTCATTGTTCTGAAGGCCACTTGTCAGTCAGATGGCTCCCCGGCGTCTCTACCGAGTAGCCGTTACATAGTATATAGTTTTCAGTCGTTTTATTTCCACCTGAGTATTTGTATTTAAAGTAGGTTTCTTGTAGACACTCTATCGCTGGGCTGCACTTTTGTTTGCTTTTTTCCCCCCTGACAGCCTCTAACTCCGGTGTATTTATAAAGCTGTTATAGAAGGGCTGGTAATCCCATCATCTCTGCATCTCTCTGTTTTGAGAATTGTACACCCAGCAGAGTGCTAGATTTGACTGAATTCTTTGAAGAGTTTTCACTGTGTCCTGGCGTGAACTGGCGAGCCTCACCTTCCTTTGCGCGCCTCGTAGGACTGTGACTTCAAAGGGCTAAACACTCACGGTACCTGTTTGCTTTACTGAGTGGTTTACGTGTTTCACAAAGCGACACTGTCGTTGTTTCCTGCAAACATGGAGAAAGCAGGGCGATCCCCTCATGTGATTAAAACAGTAACGATGACACGGTTACCATTATTTGAGAGGAACCCTGGCATGTTGGCTGGGTTGAGGTGTGATTGTTGGCCTGACCAGCACAGGTGAAAGGTGGAGTCCTCTTGTTACCTTGGACACAGTCCTGGTGACCAGCAGTCTCTTAATGCGGCTTTGAGTGATGGCATTGCCCTGCGTGTCCCCTGCCCCAGTCCTTACAGGAAGCAGCGTGGGACCATCCTTCCCCAGGGTGTGTTGCTGCTGTCTGGCTGCACCAAGCCAGCTGCGTTTTACTCTCTGGTCCCTGCTGAGGTCGTGCTTTCCGCGTCCCTTCATCTGGGAAGGCCACTGCAGGATTTCCCTCCCCCAGCGGCCTGAGGACCCATCGCATTGCTTGCTGTGGAACGCAGTGTTCTCCGAAAGCGCAGAAGCACAGTCCTTGCATATTCATTGCTCAGAAAAGGAACCCCATGCACCCAGGTCTCATGTGCACAGTCACCTTCCCCAGGCGCCTTTGCAGGTCCCAGAGCAGGGCCTCCTGGCCGCTTGCCGGTGTCTGTTTCCCCACGAGGGGACCCGCAAACCAAGCATTGTTCCTTTGCGGTAAAATCGCCCGCTGTTCCTTTGGGAAATAGCTAAGCCCTGAATTGCTTCCTGGAGCAGGGATGTTTCGGGGCTGACAGCCCCTCTTAAGAGAGTGTGTGTGTGAGCAGATCATTCCTGGGAAGAGGTGGCAACGCGTCGTGTCTGTCCCCGGGGCCCTGTGGCCCCCACGTCCTGCACCTCACTGACGCCTCTCCTTGCCTCTCCCCAGGGGCGGAAAAGCTCATCCGCCATCTGCGGAAGCACCACGTGCCCTTGGCCGTGGCCACCAGCTCCGGGTCCACGTCCTTCGAGATGAAGACCAGAGCGCACAAGGAATTCTTCAGCTTGTTTGATCACATCGTGCTGGGAGACGACCCCGAAGTGAGGAGCGGCAAGCCGGACCCAGACATCTTTCTCGCCTGTGCCAGGAGGTTCTCCCCTCCGGGCCCCGCGGAGAAGGTGAGTGCGGGGGTGCTGTTAGCGGGGCGCGTCCTACATGGGGGTGCGTGCGTGCAGTAGACCGGGGGACCTGGGCCGCGCAGCCCCCGTGAGCCGGGTGCACGGAGGTCACTGCAGTGTGGGGGTGAGAAGAGCCCCCGAGCCCCCAGGCCAGGGAGAGCCCCGACACCTGGGGTGCCCACTTTGTGACTGTCGAGATTTTGGGCATGGCGGCCTTTGCTTTTCCTCCACACGTTTCTGGGAGTGTGTGTGTGTCTCCCCTGGGGTGGCTGCTGGCAGAGGTCGGTTCTGCCCGCATCGTGCGGGGACCCGGGGACCACGGGGCCAGTGCTGTCTGCGGCTTTCTGAGCAGAAGCGTGTTTGGAGCAGTTGACTGGCTGTTGACCGATGTGACAGGTCGTCACCGCGCTGCGACTGCTGAGACGAAGGGCTGCAGTCTCGGCAGGTGCAGGTTCTAGAACAGGGCGGCGCTCTTGACGGAAGGGTTCCCTTCCCGCTGGGGAGCCGCCTGTGTTAGCAGGGAGGGCGTTCTCGGGGTGACAGTGGGGTCCCGCGTGGGTCCCTGTTCCTGAGGACTAGGGTTTGCCGGGAGCTACTCAGGGAACAGCATTCCCGGGAAGGTTTGTCCCTTCATCACGACCTCAGGGGACATTACCCCGATGCCCCTTCCACGTGGAGCTGAGCGCCTGGGGCATCGCGAGTGAGTGGGCTGCTCCTTTGATCCAGGGCCCAGCGCCCCACACTGGCCGGGTACAGGCACTGGGATTGGAACTCGTGGTCCATTCTCTGGCTCCCACACCAGCTGGGCGCCCCCAAATCCACTCACCCAGAGTTAGCTGAGACCCCACAGATTCAGGGCGCAACCCAAGGAGACAGCCCGCACTCAGACACCCGCTGCGCCCAGGCCACTCAGCTCTGCCCAGCCGGCGACGGGATGGCGGGTCTCCACACCCATTTCTCAGGCCCGACGGTTCCCCGGCATGGGCTGGCCGGACTCCGGAAAACTCGTGACCTGCACGAACCGGGTGTTTATGACGCAGGCAAGTCAGAGCCTCTGGAAGCGGCACAGGGTGGGTGTGGATGGCTGGGGGCCTGGAGGGGCATCCGTCTCCGCTCAGGGACACAGGCACGACTGAACCATGCGCCATCGGTGACTGGCTCGTTGGACCTGGAGGTTAGGGTGTGCCTGAAAGTTCCAACCTTCCAATCGTGTGCGCGGGTCTTTCTGGTGACGCGCCCCATCCTGGACCACCTACAGGCCCACCAAGAATCCCCTCATCAGCACAGACTCCGGGATGGTTGAAGGGGGCTTATTACAAGTAACAGAAGGTGCTCCCCTCACTCAGGAAATTCCACGGGTTTTAGGAGCTCTGGGCCAGGAATCGGATGAAGACCAAGGTACAGACTCGTATACATTTGTCACTTCACAGCCATAAAGAATCGTTGAGTGACAGTGGCAACGCATGTACTTGAGGTGGACATATGTGGGCTGATTCCGATCTCACTGAATCCATCTCCAAAGCAACCTTATGACAAGGGGGGAGTCTGAGGTAGCCCACCCGCCAAGCCCTAGAGTCAGAAGCTGAGCCTCGAGAGGGGCCCTAGTGCGTCCTGGGGGGCTGATGTGCCTGCTTCTTACATCACACCTGTGTGGGCGCATCTGGCATTGTGCCACACGTTACAAAGAAACGCGTTCCTTTTCTTAAGAATGTCCCCCTTCTTAAAGGACGCCTCCGTAACTTCAGGTCATGAAACCCTCTCCTAGAGGTGCCGTTTTCTGATTGCTACAGGCTGCCATCTGTCTGCCCCCCAGTAAAGCGAAGGTACCCCAGTGAGCACGCTGTGCAGAGCTGTTAGCGTCCGTGGGCGCCTGCCTCCGTAGGTCCCGAGGAGCAGCCGATGAGGGCTAGGTTAGATGTCTGCCTCCCTCTGTTCCCTCTGGACTCTGAGGTAGTTAAAGGAAGGAGGTACTGCCTTGCTCTCAGCGTCAGCAGGCCGGGCTTTGCAAGGCCCCGCGTTACGGAGCCGTGGCGTTTCCGTGCTGTGAAGTGGTATGGTCACAGTTTATATGGAAACCGCGGGCTGGCTTTGCAGAGAGCAGCTGCGATGCAACCCTGCGAAAGCCGCACGCGGCCCTGCTGCCCGCACGGCTCCCTAGGCACGCGCCCCCCAGCCAGCGCCCCGCCGAGGCCTGCCGCTCAGCGTCTGATCAGCTCTCTGCTGCAGCCTCACCGTGTTTGCTTCAGACCTGTCACGGAGACAGGAGCGATGTGCACTATGAGAGGAATTAGCTCGCAGGGAGTTTCGCCAGGACCCCGGGTGCTAGCCCGCATCTGTATGGCTGTGTCCGTCCTGCCCAGACGGGCCCTTGTCACGTGTTTCCCCGGGGGTGTGAGTGTCATCATACCAAAGGAGGATCCTAACAGGCTCCTTTTCGGGAAGGCACCTCTAACTTTGTCCTTGGTGTGTCTTCCTGGGACATGAAGCTGTTGCTCAGAGGCTTGCTGGCGCTTTGTCTGTGACCTGCCGCTTCGCTCCGATGCAGTGCAGGCGTAAACGTCACTAGCATTGCATGTGGTTATGAAGTCACGGGGGAGAGTCACAGTTGCCTTTGGGAATTGGCGACACTGCGGGCGTCTCCAAATTAACTGGGTGCTGTAGGAGTGATGGGGAGGTAGTGAACCACAGTAGGAGAAGAGGGGGACTTTATGTAAAACTGTCCGTTACCTCTCTGCGGGGACAAAACGCCTGACAGCCCGCGTTAAATAACCCCATCTTCACTGAAGCATTCATTGCTTATGTATCCTTCTATCATGCTGAAAATAAGCAAAAGTGACACCACCACCAGCAGTCGCTAAGCCCACCCTCACGCTAATGGAAACTCACTGAGCATGTGCTGTGTGCCGAGGAGGTGGCGTGGGGTCCCCTGAATCTCAGCATCCCTGGGGCAGAGGTTATCATTGCTCAGCTTCCGCAGTCCGTGGGCTTGGGGAGACGTGCGTGCGTGAGGGGGGCGGGCTGCAGGACCGAGCTGGGGGCACCCTACGCCCCCCAGGTGTGTGTGTTCTGCCACATGTGTTCCTAGCCACAAAAACGCACCTCTTTATTGTAAAATAAAAATGATAGCATCGTTGACACATGATTTCTTAGGTTGGTATTTTTTACATTACAAGTAAAACCAGAAATCAGTTTTAAAAAGCATAGCAATCCCAACTTTGCATATTTTAATTTTTTGTTTTTGTTTTTTAAGATTTTATTGGGGAATTGGGGGAGGGGAACAGACAAGTTGCTGTCCTTTTGTTCTTCAGTCCAGTTGTGGCGGACGTCGCTTCACTGGCTCATGTTGGTATTATCATTGTCCTCTTCCTGGGTGAGGCAAATCGGTCGCCGGCATTGGACGGCCACTCACGGTGGCTCTTGGCAGCTCATGTCAGCTGCTGGCCACTCATGCCGGCTGCCAGCCACTCACGGTAGCTTAAGGCAGCCCACTGCAGCTCCATTGCAGCCTATGCCGTCGCTGGCCACTCACGGCAGCCCAGCTCCAGGTCGAGCTGTTGTTCACCATCTTAGCTGTAGAGGGCGCAGCGTCACTGGCCCATGTGGGATCCGAACCGGGACCCTGCTGCTCAGAGCTGGCGTCCCAAGCCAACTCACAAAGGTAATAATTAATAACAGAAAGAAAGTATATGCAAACTGCAATCTTTTAAAAAATGTTACTTAAAGGCTGAATTAAGTGAACATCTTAATGAAGTGTACGCATATTCAGTATGACAATATTGTGTCCTTGTTTCTAGGTAATTCAGTGTCAGACAACACGGAGACAAAACGTAAACCTTAGACGTGAGCGTGCTGATCAAAACTTAATCACAAGTAAAGGTTCAGGCCTTCTCAAAGTTTTCATCTCTTGCAGT